GCACTCCATTGTTTTTGAGCAATACAATTATACCAATTAGTTTGTTTGTGAATTCTAAGTGAGATAAATATTTTGATATATTATACGCAACAATGGTTAACAAATGAATGAGAAATTGATTCTCAAAACAAGTCTATTGAGTGAAAAATGGAAGGAGTTTTACGTGGGAAGTGTCCCACGTAAGAACAATACCCACAAGGCCACAAAATGCACTCATATATGAAATACTTTATAAAAGAGAGATAAAAACTTTTATCACGAGGGGAGGCAAGCACGGGGTGTTTTAGGTAAATTGTATCGAGTGTGTTCTTTGGGATCTAGTGCGATAACATAATTTTTTTGAATAAGTTTCTACAATTTTATTCGTAAAATTTCTAACTAACCTGCTCTTTTTTAATTTCAAATTAACCCACACTTTTTCAAAGTTAACAAACGTTAGATCTCTAATTTAAAAATATAAAATTTCACTTGATGTGTAGTGTACGGGACAAGATTAATGATCACTATCGAACATTAATGGGCGATTAAATTAAATCAAGCTGCTATGACATGATTGGATGCAACTTCAGCCAATTAATATGAGTCATCATCTTCAATTTTGAACTCTAGAAAATCGAAAGTGACTTTGAAAACATTTACAACAATCACCTTCAGTAAAAGTTGTTATTCTCTAGTCAACAATCTTTACAACGTTGTTCTTGTTCGCTGGTGTAGCCTCGGTCTATATGTACAACCGACGTGCACGCTAGCCGCCGTTTCATCTTTAGAGGAGGGCATTTATATTTGGGAGGGAACTATTTAGCTTAAGAAGAGCTCTAACGACTTCACTCTCCTTCATCTTCTCTACTTTTTTATGTTTTGTTCATTTCCAATTCGCCGTTGTTTTGCTCTAGTCTGTCCCGTCATTTTAGCAAGTCTCTATTGAACTTTGTCATAATAAAAGATGGTTTTCATCCTTCTTAATTTCCTTTCATAGGCGTTTCATCCGTCTCGACGTTCTAGTCTTTGTAACTCTCGAGATTTCTTTCTTATTCCTTTTTATTGTAATATTCTAAATAACCAGGTAAGTTTGGAATTATTTGTTGTTTATATTCTTTTTGGTCCGTTTACCTATCCCGTTTTGGTCTATTATAAGCGTTTGTTTCAACAATTCATATTAACAAGATCACGCAAAAAAGTTTACACTTCAAATTCACTTTTTCTTAAACTTCGTGCAAATTCAAATAAGAGCATTAAATTGAGACGGATGGAGTATTATTGTATAAGGCCATAAGGGCATTTTAGGAAAAAATAAAAGAAAAGGAGGGTTGGAGTGTAAAATGTAATGTGGAGTGCCATTATCACTTCCCAAAATTATATCTTTAACAATAAAATGGTCGAATATCACGCAGTTATTAAATGTACACACATCGATTTTATAGGGGGTATTATGAATGTCTTAATGGCGGTGTATTCCATCTAGATTTTCTAAAATTTTGGTAGATTGTTTAAAATTGCGGTGAGTAGATTATTGCGCAAATATAGAGAGATTTTACTGTATTTATCAACAGGATTTTATGGAATTATAGTAGATTATTTATAATCCATGTATTATTTATACATATATTTGAATTATTTTAAAAATTTATACATTACTCTAACATTAATTCTACTTATGAAATTGATCAAAAACTTAAAAATAATATAATAAAATAAAAATGAATTAGTTTTTAAACATAATATTTTCTATAGGACTTTTTTATGACTATTGAAAAGTTTTAGTGTTTTCTTTCTCTTGTTAACCATGATTCTCTGGATCTAACAACTTTCTTTTGCAACTATAATTAGTGGCGAAACAAGTGCATTATGATCTTGAAGTTCAATAGTCATTTTAAACAAGTCTTCGATCCTTGGTATGCGCATTTTCAAATTTTTTTTATCAAGAGCATAACAAAAGAAAGCATAATACCTTCCTTGTTTTAAACAAAAGAGAATAAAAATTAAATAACCAATGACCATTTGTAGACTTTTCTTCAAACACATAGAGAGCATAAAATATTAACCTAAAAAGAATAATTTATGAATCAATTGAAGAATTCAAAAATAAACAAACATGATCAGTAACTAATTCCAATACAAAAAAAATTAATAAATTCAAATAATTATAAATATATATACTCCATAAATTGTAAGAACAACAAAATTTACATTTTAAAATTGTATCTTAGAATTGGGTTGCAAAAATAAGGCAAAGGGCAACTAGAAATCGGCTTTGAAGAGGAAATACAGAATTGTATACACACAAAAAATTGAAGTCTTGAAGAGTTGAAGATGATGGAGGGAAGTTGTGAAAAAAAAACCTCACCTTGAAGGCTTGAAGACGATGAAGAGAAGAACTTGCGCTGACAGTGAAGGGAATCGAGAAGATGAGCTCTTGGAGAAGAAGAGAAGATCGACTGAAGGAGAACGAGAAGACTGAGCTACTGGCTCTTGGAGTCCACAAAATCCCTGGGGTTTAGGTTGGATTTGAAAATAAATTTTTTATTTATACTTCAAATTAAAAATCTATCACAATCCATTTTCTATAGCAATCCTTGAAAATTTATCAACTTTTCAATATCATTAGATTTAGAAATATTTTTTAAAATCTCAATTGAATGCACATTGACTTTTAAAATCCAAAAAAGTTTTACAGAATCTGAATTGAATACACCCTCTTAAGTATCTCCAAACAAATAAATGAGGGAATTAAATACTGTGAAACTTAGAAATATACATAATGTACACTAGATACTATACTTTTTCAAAAAAAAAAAACACTATAGAATGGATCTACTCGTACAATTTATGATAAACTATATTGTACTTCCTCCGTTTTAATAAATCATCCTTCTTTTATTTGTTTCATTTTCCCTAAATACTTATATGTTCAATTAAAAAATTACATTTACCCATATTTCTTTCATACCCTACATATCACACTATATTTTTTCAGTAATAATTTAATTATCATATCTTACTTTTACTCATCACATCAGGAACAAAATTAGAAAGTCAACTATAAATATACTTTTCTTATTTTGGCTAAAAGTCAAAAGGAGAAAGATTTATTGAAATGGAGGGAGTAATTTTCTAATATTTTAAACAATGGGCCATTAATTTAGTTCCGAGTGTTTAGGACTTTAGGTATATTTAGGGTGAGTTGGAAAAGAGAGAAAATAATTCTTAGAAGTAATTTTACATTTTTTTGATGTTTGACTGTTTCAAAAAATATCAATCGACCGAAATAGTTTTCGAAATCAACAGACAACAAGCCTTATTTACAGTAAACTAATATCACACCCGTGCGTTGCACGTCTTATATTTACAGTATGAAAATATATTGCTGCCATAGTTAAAGAAAAGAAATAGACCATATAATAAAATTTAAAATTTTTTATTATTTTAAAGCATGAATATTAAATTAATTATATTTTAGAAAACTTCTTTATAACTACATTCTTGGTATAATTTAATTTGCATGAATAATCTCTGAATTGTATATGGGAATCCTCAAGTCATTATGATTGACTATTCTTGAAATCGCAACATATAGTTATTCTTTCAACTTAAATTTTTAATTATTATTGTGTATTTATTATTCTTTCAAACCAAATGTACCTTTTTATAACACCTTTTCTAAGTAAAAATGGAAACACAATACCGTGTTTATGTACATTCTTATAACACCATTTTAAAGTTTAAACACCTTTTTAAATATTATTATTATGTTTCCTTTAATGTATGTTTCCTTACGTTTCATTTGAAGTAAAAATGATGATACCAGATTAATTATACTTTTATAATAACATCGTACCATGATTAATATATCTTTTATAACACGTATTAATAATTTTAAGGTATGAAATTACCTTATCATTAAATAATAATTAATAGTAATTAATAACCAAAACCGTGTTTGTGTATGGTAATAATCAATAGTAAGGTATGGTAATAATTTTAAGTTATGGTAATAATTAGTAGTAAAGTAATTTGATATGTGTTTGTGTTACTTAACAAAATAGTAAGGTAAATTAATACGTGTTTGTGTTAATAATTATATTTACCTTTTTATATGTCATTATTACATCTATCACTTCCCTTTTATGTTTAACACTTACCTTTTGCAAGCGTAGACCATGTAAGCGGGAAAATGAAATTGAGAATTCACCTCTTTTTAAATAAAGTATAGATAGATAGTTTCTATTTTTTTTGGTGGAAAATATTTTTCTATTCTCATGCTTCTTAGATCAAAACTCACCACTTTTTATATAAATTTTTTTAGTGTATAATGCATGAATATAAATTGAACAGTAACAAAAACTAGTTATATCCAATTTCTAAATTTTCAATCAAACCATAAAGAATAATTTTTTTTCCAAAATTAATTTTTTTTCATACTCCATCCGTCCCAAAATATTTACAACATTTGCTTTTTCAGCAGTCACGAGAACTTTTGTTTATTTCTATGTTTTCATTGGTTATTTGATATAATAAAATATTTTTGACACCTCTTATTTTGAAGAACTTTTCGTGTAGTTTTTTAATATGTAAATTTTATTTTTTATTTCTATACCAATATGTAAATAAAATAAATTAAAAAAACTTGATATTTTATCGCAGGAATACAAGTATGACAAATATTTAGGGATGGAGGGAGTAATTATTTTCCATTTTTCCGAAATCCAAAGAGACCCATCACAATTGACAACTTATAATTTGGGCCGAGTATCATTTTAGAAAGCTAGGGGTACACCATTTGGTGTACCCCATTTGTCCCTCATCCCCTCCATCACCACACAAAAAAGCAAGAAATTAAAACAAAATTAAATAAATAAAAATAAAATAAAATTAAATGGTAGATAAAGGAGTGGGGGACAAATGGGGTACAACTTTATGTGTACCCCTAGCATTGCTCATCATTTTATTTTTCCAAGCAAAAATAAGTTGGCGGGAGAGGATTTGTGACAAATCTCAAAAGACGTTTTTCCCGCTCCTCTCTCCCCCCTCCTCGCTTGAATCTCCAGTCTCTGCGAAATGTTCACAAACTCTCTCTCATTTCTCGATCTCCGCCGCGCATGCGTTTCAAGTTCCAGATCTAATCAGTAATGGAAGCTAAGCATGCCGAATCGGAATTCAGTCAGCCTCCCGCCGGCGCCGGCGCAGCCCTCACCGATTCTGAAAAGGCGTGGCATGTTTTCGCACTGCTCCTGGCAATTCGACGGCCTGCCCAGCCGGCAGAGCTCGCATCGATCTGTACATTTTTCCGTGCTACTCCAGATTTAATTGGATATCTTTGCTCGATTCCCTGTTCTCCAATCCATTTGACTCCGGATTACATCGTCACGTTCTCCCCTGCCGTCTACATGATATTTGCTAAATTTATTGCGTATGTGAACGCAATTGCTTCTGTTTTGCCTGGATTGGTGTCTGATGATCTATTAGGAGCTGTTGACTTTGGCTCGAAGACATATTTCAGGAAGAAGAAAAGGCCGAGATGGATAGCCAATGGTTTGCCTGCGTTAAAAAAGAGAAGAACTTTAAACAGTTGTTATGGTGAGGACTGAGAGAGTGAACATTACTTCTGAGCCTTTTTTAAGTGTGTGTATATATATATATATATATATATATATATATATATATATATATTATCAATCTGGTATATATAATTTGATTTATGAGTTTAATAGGTGCTTTTAAATTGATGATGTGCAGCTGAGAAGGATCACGTGGTAATGGCATTTCCTGGAGAGACGCTGGATGTATTTGCTAAGGTAACTTGCTATCATTATTTAATCAGCTAATGTTTATGTTACGGTTCACTTGAGTATTTATTACATTAAAATTCTAATGTTTTTCTTGCATGTGAATTGGGAAATTAGCAGACTGCGTTTAAATTTTATGCACACTCAAATGCCTCAACATATTGTAAATTTTCAATCTCGGTTGGCTTGAATTGCCAGTCTAGTTGAGTTTGGCATCAATGTTCTATGTGAAATTAATAGAATTTGTTAAGATTCGCCTTTGAGTGTGTTGCATGCTGTTCACTTGATAGTTCAAATATTGAACATTTGAAACATAACTAGGAAAAAGGTGAGGATATATAGAGAAAATGATGTGCACAAAAAGATTTAGTGCATTGAAAGTGGGAACAGAAGTAAATACAAAATAGTGACAAGTTGTGGTTTCTGGACACTTAATGTTGGGTTATTAGAATCTGTACTACGTAATAATAATTCTGAACTTTGTTCCAATTCCCAAAGCAATGGTATTAAGCATACATGATACAATGCTCACACAGGAACATTCTGAACTCCAAGATGGCATTTGTGGTGGGAGTATGAACAAAGATAAATCGAGACCATTGCGCTTCACCTCTGTCAACAGGGAAGTGGGGAAAACATTTACTACTTCCTGCATTTTTTATGCAAACAATGATGCTTATAGATATGGTTTTGGATATGCACGGTGTAATGAAGAACCAATCCTACATACAATTCATAACAGAAATGAAGCAGACACTGTAACTTTGACAAAATCTGAATTCATGTATGATGATGTGAGTATTTTGCATATCCATGAACAAGTGGAGAAAGAGACATATGCTATCCCCAAGTCAAAGCCACTTCAGCTGACTGGCATAGTGGATGTTCAGATAGAGAGTGCAGAAGTGGAGGCATATGATAATACTGCAATCAAAGTAAACTCTAAAGTAACTTCTTGTATTTTAGCTCAAGAAACTCTGGTTCAAGCAGCAGAGCCTTATACAGCCATCCAATCCTGTCAAATGACCACTGAAAATGAAAAAGTAAGTTCTTGTACTTTAGCTCAACAGACTCCAGTTCAAGCAGCAGAGCCTTATACGGCTATACAATCCTGTCAAATGACCATTGAAAATGAACACTCTGTGGAAGGAGTGGAACCGCTATCTTGTACTGTTGGAAAGAGTGAAGGTGTCAACTCCACACCATATAGGTCAATTATGGTTGGCAAAATTGAGAAGTCTGCTGAAGCCCCTCATAAAGTGAGTGACAGGAAGAAACGAAAAATATGCTCTCCTAGTTCAAAAAATGTCCATGAGGAAGTGTTGATTACTGCCGAGCAACCTGTGTACAAGTCACTCAATAATAGTGCACAGGTCAGACGTGGAGAGAAGGACCGAATTAACAGAGGCATGAAATCAGTCTCTGCAAAGAAAAAGCTAACTTATAATCATGAAGAGTTAGCCATTACTACAAAAAAGAATGGGACCTTCAAAGAAAATGGAGAAGATTTGAATTCTAACTCTTCTAAAGTAAGTTGAGAGTATATCAATTTTTTCATGCCAAGTCATGAAGTGTCCCTATTACTTTGTAAAGCTGATAGACTAATTTTTAAAAATGGCAGGAGCCAATTAAGAAAAAAGAGCTGCCAAACTTTGAGTCTTTTGTAGTTGAGGAAGAAGAAGGTTCAGGTGTGGTACCTTTGACTGTAAGTGTCACCCATTGTTATTTTGATGGTTATCAGTAGGTTTCACCTAAAACTATGTGCAGGTGGCTATGGGACGGTGTACAGGGCAAGGAGGAAGAGCGATGGAAAAAAATTTGCAATAAAATGTAAGACAGTAATTCATTTCATTTTCTATAATTTTATGCTTACTCCTTTAAACAATGATCCAAACAATGATTCATAGTTGCGTACCCAACATTGACTTAGCAAATTAGCAAATATAGCTTTATTTGTGTTCATTACTGCTATGGTGTTCAGCTTAGTAACTTAATATCTGTTGCAGGAGACTCTTTTATAGTGGTTTTGATGTTTCAATTTGTCTTTAACGTGGAGGTGAAAAAAATATAATTTGAAAATATATTCTCTGAGTTTTAATTCTATTATCTCCGATGGAGCCAAAGATTCACTATTTTTTGCCTTTGGGGTATGGATGGAATAAAGCAAAAGGACTCTTTAGATTGTTTGCTACTTCATTAATAGTGAAGTAGCAGTCCGCCAGTCAGTCAATGCAACTCTCGATGCTCAACACGAGTCATCCGGAAACAGTTGATCTATATTTTAAACATAGAGGTCAGGTTGCATACATTCGACCCCCCCTTACCCCACCATGGGCATGAGCCTTTGAGGCACTGGGGAAATGTTGTTGTTGTATGCTCTGAATTTGTATGCATGTATTTTTTTTGAGTGCAGTGGCATCGTTTGATCCATGTAGCCAACCCCACCTAGTGGGATAAGACTTGATTGTTGTTGTTCTATTTGTGTATAAGGGGAAAAAGTCAAAAAAGAAAAAATAAAGTACAGAGTAAAATATAATAACACTGTATTCAACAATTCATGGAAATACATTTATAGAAACACAAAGCCACACTAGTAAGTGGTGATACCTGAATTTTGGGATGCAAATGCATCACTGAAGAAGTGCTGTGTGATTGAGCTTCACCTTTGTAAGCAAGCAAATATTTTGAAGAATTTGCCCTTTATGAATCTACATGATAATACTTTTTCTTATTTTCCTTTTTGTACTTGTGTCCATTTAGATTTTCTTGTTTGGGACCGTGGAATGCCTTGCCTGACCAAGTCCCAGCACACATTTGCTTACTATATTCATGATTGTGCAGGCCCACATTCTAATGCCAACAGACAGAACATCCTTAATGAGGTGAAGATGTTGGAAAGATTTGGGTATGAATGTTGATTCAATATGCTGATATCTTCATGCATGTGTCTTTTTGTTATAACTAATATGTCTTAATCTGTGAACTATACACTAGGGGGAAGAACTTTGTGATCAAATACGAAGGATCATTCAAGGAAGGAAATTCTGATTGTGTTGTTTTAGAGCACGTGGAGCATGACAGACCTGATGTAAAATTGCCACTTCTTTCTGAAAGAGTGTCAAGCTAATTGACATTGTCAATGTTAGTTTGTTCTAATCTAATTTTATACTATGTATTAATCATTAGGTTTTGAGGAAAGAAATTGAAGTTTTCCAGCTACAATGGTATGCCTACTGTATGTTCAAGGCTCTTGCATCTCTTCATAAGCAGGTGAGAACCAAAGAGCTTGTGACACTGATATTAAGGGAAATGAAATTTTAAAGTTCACTAAACTCTAAACATATTATCATTCTTTGCAGGGTATTGTTCACAGGGATGTCAAACCCGGAAACTTTCTTTTTACTCGAAAGCTAAATAAAGGTTACCTTATTGATTTTAACCTTGCCTTGGTGAGTAGCATTCCATATTTACATCATTATCCTTCCATTTTTTCCCTGTTGGAATGGACTAATTTGATTTAATGTCAATCTGTCAACAGGATTTGAATAAAAAATACGGAAATGCAGGTAACTCATCAATTCCTCCATTGTAGATTTGTGGTGTTCTTTTATTTACCTTTGATATTTGGGGAAGTGGGGGTGGGGCTGTCAGTTAATTGCTTATAATGAGGGTTTGGCAGTTGGTGAAAAGCCTAAACTCCATTTGGATGGAGGGGTTAAAGGGAAATATTTGGAGGGCTTAATTTATGTCTTTATATATATATATATATATATATATATATATATATGAGATTTTGTTAGAATTGAAATTTGAAAGGTCAACATAACATCTGACTGGATAAAGTTTTAATAACCTTTGGTATCAGGAACATTTTGTTCATCAGCATATAGACTAAGTTCACCACTGCTCTTCCCTAATCCCTACCAACCCCTCCGTTCCAAATAGACTATTTTCCATACATTTTTTGTTTGTCAAGTGCATGCTTAACTCCATTTACCAATATGTTTTTGATCTATAGATAAAACAAATTTGGGATCTTCTACTGCCGTACAAGAAACTCATCATTGCCTTAATAATTATCTGCCCCCAAATAGAAATAGAAAAGCAGTCAATCAGGAAACAGCATCCAAAGGCATCAAGAGATCACTGCAGCCCAAGAACACGAAAAGGAAGGATGATTTGGAAAATGGGAGTAGGAGCCTAATGAAAAGCCAAGGAGCGGATGGGTCAGGGATAACTTCAACAAAGGAAGCAACAAGCATCAGGAACACATCCAAAGAGAGGTTGAGAGAGCCTCTGCTAATGCAGCCTCTATCCATTCAAGGTAGAGAGAAGCTTATGAGTTTGGTGGAAGAAATACAATGTACAAGCCATCATAAAGAAGAAGTGAAGGGTCCCACTTCTAAGAGGAAGAGGATCGCAGCAGCCCCTAGAAAAGAGGACGGGCAGCAATTCCTTTATGTAACCCCGATGCCTCTGCACTCATCTGGAATACCCATTCGTGGTGCTGGGTTGCTCCAGGGTAAAACAGTTAGTCCTAATCTAACATCAGTTTATGACAAAGTAATATGGTTAATTATTCTGCTACTTCTTCTAGGTGATGGAAAGCATAAGAGAGATGGCTCATGTGTTGGGACCAAGGGGTTCAGGGCTCCCGAGGTTTGTAATCTAACCTATCCTCATTGATGCTAATTCATCTGTGCATTTTTTTAGAGAAATTGTACATGTTAATTATATAAAAACTAAGAAATCTAATTTCATGTAAATCTAAATTTAAAAAGAAACTTGTATCATTTTCGTTTTGCATTTTCAAGGTAAAACAAAACACATTACGGTAATTGTCCCCAACCATTTTCCCTTTTTGTTTCATTTTCCGCGATCCAAACATGATATGTTAAGATGAAGGCAATCATGTCTATTAAGATGGGCTAATACCACATGATTAATGCTAATTATATTGTGCGTCTTGTATATGATTAGATGCACATACATCCACTGTCAATTTTGTAACTTTTTGATATTTGTTCAATTTTCTCTGAAGAAAGCTTATGATGTTTATATATTTTTAAATGTCCCTTATCATATGAAAGCATGTTTATTTCAATATGTCATTTGGTCCTTTATTTGCATATAGTGAATGTACCATTGTCAATTTGTCATGGTACCTCTCAAATGGTTGAATTGGTATTGCATAATTAATCCATAATTGAGACATGTCTTTTGTTCAGGTATTATTCAGATCTCTACATCAAGGGACCATGCTTGACATTTGGTCAGCTGGTGTTAGCTTACTGTATCTGATAACTGGGCGAACCCCTTTCACCGGAGACCCTGATCAGTAAGATTACCCTCATTCCACCACACCCTTTTTTGCAATTTATATGGTAGTAGTAATTGATATGAGAACTTACACCATACTTTTACCTTTTTGCCCCTTTCACAGGAATATAAGGGAGGTTGCCAAGTTGAAGGGCAGTGAGGACTTATGGGAATTGGCTAAACTACACAACCGCGAGTCTTCCTTCCCTGAGGTAATAATCCCTCTCCGTCTCAGTTTTCACCAAAATTATCTTTCACCTCAGGACATCTGGGGAATGAGACTTTGGGGATTAAAGCGCGAGAAGAATATAATTGAATAAATACTTTAAGTGTTGGGAGTATTAGGAATAAGAACCTTGCTACACTTACCCAAAGAGCAATCCCCACTTTGTCCTCCCCCCTCATTTTCTTCTTATAGACATGAGTATAAGTGCTTGTATTTGCTTATTTAACATGTGAGATAATGGTACAAATTTATACAAGAGTAGAACTGATATGCCCGAGCCCAACCATGTCTAACCTACCATTAGGCATGATGCAAGGATAAATGAATACACCCACGAGTATGTACATGAAGTTTTGAAAAGAGAAAGACACTTGTGATAATTATGAGCTCATTTTACAGACAATTTATGTGTGACAAGGGAAAAATTGTCATATATGAGAAATTGAGAACTTGAGATATATCATATACGGAGTATGAGATTTCATGTCACTACAAATTGTCATGTTTTTTGTCGTGAGCTTGATCATATATTGGGTTGTTATTGTTGTATTGCTAGCTAGTTTGCTTGTTGGGTCAATAAATGACAAAAAACGCACAACAACAATCCCAGCAAAATCCTACAAAAAAGTAAGGAGGGAAAAACATACAATTAGTTGAAAAAAGAAACTATTAAACGGAAAAAAGTTTATCGTAAAGAAGAGTGGTCCAGTGCACCAGGCTCCCACTATATAAAAAAGGATGACCTCATCTTAGGACCCCTAAAACCGTCTTGGTAGCAGGTAAATTAAGCTTTAATCTCAAATTCAATAATAGGGAGTGGGATACTTGCAAAGATAATGAGATTTTGGTATTCCCATTATAAGCCCTCTTTTGGTTTTTTTAACATCTAATGAGATTTTGGTATGCCTATTATCCCATTCAATTATCATGTCAAAATGCAAATGACATACAAAAGTGGCATCTCAATGAAACAGGACCTCTTAGATGCAAATGCTCTGCCTTCAGTAAAACTACAAGACTGGTGTAAAAGGAACAGCCGAAGAACCGATCTCTTCGATGCCATTCCACCCTCTCTTTTTGATCTCGTTGACAAGTGTTTGACGGTGAACCCGAGACTAAGAATCAGCGCCGATGAAGCCCTTCGGCACGAATTCTTCGCTCCGTGTCATGAAACTCTCGGAAAACGGCCCCTTTCGAGACATGGGGCTGCAATGCTTCCTTCTCGAGGAGGACAAACTCTGGCAGGTGGAGTGGTTGTATGAACATATTTTCTGCTAAATTTTTTGTATTTCTTTTGTGTATTGTTAAGTAGGAAGAAGTAGCCATTGCTGTTCAAGTCAAGCTTTTGTCATGAATGAAATCCTAAATGCAGAGTAAAATAATAAGGAATTAGGGATGTAAAAGTAACCTCTCCTTTAGTTTTAACAGGTTACTAACTGATAACATGAACATTTTATATTCTTCTTAACGTAACTAAATAATTTCAATCAAATATTATAAATTGAAATATGCACTATAGATTGGGATGAAGTATTATATTTGTGTCTGTATGTTTGAAAGTTATTGTATAGTCAATTAGTCAGTCCAGTGGCCTAATTTTTTTCATATAGTCCCCTAAAGGGTTTATTATAGAATATAATTTTCAAATATTAAAGATTACGAAATTAATATCTTGAAATTTGGGACTGTATAAAAAAATCACTTGTTATAAAGAATAAAATATAGAATAGGTACTTTGAGTTTTGTTGATTTTGATTTCTGTAAGGTAGTGTTTGGCAATTAGCATTTCATTTCAATTCATGCATTTCAATATCAAAATTTAAAATCCTGAATTTCAAATGACAAATTGAAGTGCATGAATTTCAAATTAAGCTTTGTTTTGAATATAAAGAATTTGATTCAAATCCAAATTCAAAATGCTTAAGTTTCCCAAACATGGAATTTAAGCCAAATCCAGATTTGAAATCCAAATCCATGTTCTCAAACATACCATAAAACTTTTTGAAATAAAAGCAGCAGAAATTATATGTGAGAGTGTATTTGTATTGGATGATGATATTAATAATAGTAATTATAAATGGGTAAATATACATTTTGGATTCTTTGTGTGTGCTTGTTGGTCAATTAGATGGAGTCAAATTATTTTTTTTAGTAGGATTTAAATTATTTCTCATAGTTAAAAATATAAATTGAGTTAATTCCCGTCATAGAAGCTACCTTAACATTATTAAAACACCAATGATGGAATAATATCCATTGAGTCTAATTAAAGATATCACGCCTTGAAACAAACCCATTATGAAAGTTCTAACCCTATGATTCCCATTCTTCTATAAATAAGGTGTTACATCCATGAAGAGGTGTAAATTCAGATCTACATACTCTCTACACTATTCATTGTCTTCCTCCTATAGTTTCATGATCTACAATGACTATCATGCCTACATCCATTACATGTACTCTCTAAGATATACCGAAATGCCTAAAATTTGTAGTTTTCTCCCAATTTGGTTGCACACTTGTAAATATTGAGTACTCATCTTGTTATTTATATTTATTATATCATTTTCTAATACTCACTCCGTCCCTAAATAAACTTCTCTTTTTGACTTTTTGAGGATTTAAGGGAGGGATATTTTTGTATTGACTTTCCAAAAATACCCTTGATGTTAAGTGTAAAAGTAAGATGTGATATGTAGATTATTAGTAAAAAGGTATGATGTGATATGTAGGGTATGAAAAAGTAAGGGGTAAAAGAGGTTTTTTAAGGGAAAAGATAAGTTTATTTAGGGACAAAGAAAAAACGAAAGGGGAGGTTTATTTGGGGACGGAGGGAGTATTATATTTTATACTTCCTCTATCCCACAATAATTAACATTATTTACCATTCAGAAATTACAGAAAGTATTGTTTATTTGTGTACTTTCATTGATTATTTAATAAAATAAAATATCTTTGTCATTTCTTAGTTTGTAGAATATTTGATGAACTTTATAAATATAAAAGTTTTATTTTTTATTTCTATAAAAATCAAATGAAAAAAACATGAAATTTTATTATGCAGGATAATTTATCTAAATAATACTAAAACACAATGACTTTTCCAATGTAATACCATATGTTTTATTTTCCAATGTAGTACCACTGGTCATTCTTCAAGTCACCACCATTGGACATTGTTCAAATTAAATCACTTGAAATAATTATTATACTAAAATACATTATCATTTTTGTTTAATTGAAGTCCAAAATTCATCCAGTTTGACTCCAAAAAATCAAATTGACGAATACACGAGGATGGAGGTAATATGTTGTATGAGAATACTTCGAGTACTATTGTATACTCCGTACTTTTGCTGTAGCCGAAAGCATTTTTCCACACAGGGTTAGGGCTGTGCATTATTCGGTCCGGACCCGGACCGACCCGAAACCCGGCCAAAACCGGACCGGACCGGTCCGGACCGGTCCTTATTCGGTCCGGTCCCCGGTCCTCATTTTTTCCTTATTCGGGTTCCGGTCCGGTCCGGTCCACCAGGTTTCGGTCCGGACCGGTGGACCAGTTAGATTTTATTTTTTTAAATATTTTTTAATGTTTTTTCTCATACTTAAAATTAGTTTAACTTTAATGCTAAATTTTTTTAAATGTTTTGATTTTATTATTTAATATAATTTTTTAAATACATTTCAATTTAAAATAAGATACCAATTGTAATGATTTCTAAATATTTTTAATATGAAAAGTGTGAAAAAGTAAAAATTATCTTTAAATTAGCGATTTAATGCATTTCAAATTTATATACCAATACTATAACTTAAATTTGTATTTTATCAATAATAAAACTCTAATCCGCAGGACAAACATTGTAAACAATCTCTTGAACAAAAATAGTAAAAAATGTATCTGTTGGTCAAAATAATTCGAAACTCAAAAAAATATTACAAAAAAACAAAAATGTACTAAGAAGAAGTATATTCCCTATGCAAAATAAAAATTATGAACAGATTTTATGCAATACGGATTGTGTTTGATAATGTTTAGTGCATGTTACAATTAAAAATTAGTTGTAGTAATATTTTTATTCAATTGAATACTTTAAATTAAAAAAATAAAATAAAATTAAAAAAAAAATTAAAAGTAACATTTATTCGGTCCGGTCCCGGTCCGGTTTGGGTTTTACCGGTCCGGTCCCGGGCCGGTCCTTAGCTTAATCGGTCCGGTCCTCGGTCCACCAAATGCCCCTTATTCGGTCCCGGTCCGGGTTTTACCCGATGAACACCCCTACTCAGGGTATTTTTTTAAGATGATTACTTTTCATTTTCTGTCAAGTCATGCACCACAAAAGCATGACGAAAAAGACCAATCATTTGTGAACAATTGCTGTCGTGTACCATCAGTTTTGTGATAAAAACTTACAGGCCACATCTTTTTGAAAAATATACTCCAGGTATCTTTAATTATCCAAGAACTAACTCCATGAGAACATTCCATCAATTCCCCAGTCAATTTCATTTTCTTCGTTATCTTTTCATCATCTTCTTCCCAAAAATTATTGTTAGGTACCCTCAATTTTGTAGGAATAACTCCAGGCGCCATCATTTTTCTCTAGAGGAATTTTCATTTTTTCCTTTATTATTATTATTTTTGAAGTATTATTATTATTATTCTTAGATTATTATTATTATTATTATTGTGTGACTATTACTATTATTATTATATTATTATTATGATTATTATTATTATTATTAATATTATTGTTATTATCATTATTATTATGGAGCATTATTATTATTATTACTCACTTCATCATTGTCTTCCCCATATGTCACTCGCTGCCACTTGTTGCGTTGGTTTGTCGCTACACACATTAGAATAGTAATAATAATAATAATAGTAGTAGTAGTAATAATAATGATAGTAATAGTAATAAAAATCACAATAATAATAATACTAATAATAATATAAGGAAAAAAAGAAAAATCTCTAGAGTATGTTTTTGGATATTTTAGAATACTTTGGAATATATTTTAAAAAGTGATGCAATCTAAAAGTTATTTTTAGGATACTTAACCGTAATTTTTAAAAAGTAAATGATGAAAAGATTGAGAAAAAATGAATTTGAGGGAGGAAGGGGATGGAATGTGCCCTTTCCATACTAGTCGATCCGGTGATTTTGGATTAGTCCGTTCGAGATTCGGCCTTTTCGTAGAATATGGCCGATAATTGTAGCTAAACCGAACATTTGATTCAAATTTGTATTCTTTCTGCACGAACGAAGAATATCGATAACGTCGACCGAACTCAGGAAGATTTTCATTGCAGTAGATATCGGCGGAGTCTAATTGCCGGAATCTCGGGCGATATTTGCATCCCTGGATGTGATTGTTCGGATCTGGGGGTTGTTGGTCTTCTGCAATGAAGAGACTGATTGAGTTTGGGAGAAAAGCCCTGTTCTACGTTAGGGTTCTGTCCGGATACGAAGAGCGAAGAATCCGTTCTTATCGCTTACAGCTTCAGCAGCGTCTTCAGCAGGTCTCGTATACTTTCCTCTAGCACCCGATTAATTCGATGAAACTTGGTTGAGTTTGGTAGGATAGGTCTTGATGAATGTCTGTTCTGAATCACTTGGAAATGTAGGATGGATTCTTTATATTGAAACTGGTTGTGTTTGCGAAAGGGTTAGTGGAGAATCTTTCATTGTTCCGATTGCATTTTTTGTTATGTTTCTTGTTCCTTGATGTTTAAGATGAAAATGGTGCTTCAGTTGTTCTAAAATGAAATTTTTATTGGAGAGCTAGAAAGAAGAAGTAAAAAATCAAGTCATTTTGCTCAAGTGTAATTGATTACGGGGTGATTATTTTACTGACCATGCTTAATTTGCATTCTATGATATTCAGGCATATGACTGTTAATTGACACCAGTGACCAGACTCAATGCCTGCATTTGAAATTTTAGTCTTCAGTTCTTGTTTTGTTATCTATATCGTTGCTGTGGGGGGGGTAAATAAGTATTTGTTTAGATTCCAGAAAGATTGTGAGTGCTCCAAAGCTTTTCTCGAAGAAATGGCTTTATGGTTAAGTATACCTTGATAGAAATTCACTTTCAAGTAGTTATTGTTATATCATATTTATTCCTATTTTCCCTGCCCTGTATGGCTAAAGTATTTAATATACGGAGTATTTTTTAAAGTTTCTTTGTCTGTTTTTTCATTTTACTCTTGTTTGGGGTTAGGCAGAAGAGAAGAAAGCAGCAATAAGGAGAGTTCCAGAACAAGTAATTTTATCAGAGGTCCGTAACATGGTGGGGGAGTTGCAAGCTTTGAATAAGCAGCTAGAGGAAACTGTGAGTTCCGACTTTTCTCTTATTATTTTATGCTCGCTATAGTTACCCTATAGAATTGTATCAAGAATTAGAAGAAGAAACATTGCAGCTGTAGAATTCAGCTTCTTAGGGTCTGACTACACCGTGATGTTCGCCCACAATGGGTGTAAACAATATGTAATGTAGTGTGCCCTTCACATTTTTTATAATTAATTTGATTGTTTTAAAATAGCAATTTAGCTTTTCTTGACCTTTGTGATTGGTGACCTATTAAGGGTTCTTCCTCATGAACTGATAACTTGAGATTAATATTATTGTTAGAATATTTTAGTTAGATGGGACAATGGAAGTAGATGAGGAAAGCTTGTGAACTCTATTGAGGTGCTATCTTTCAGAACAAAACCTTATCTATCTATGCCATGTTTGAAAATTAAATGAAGAAAGAAATAACCTGTTTAATTGAAAAAAGCAAAAAAAGACATAGCTTTCAACATACGTAGTAAAAACGAAACACTTCATCTTGGAACACTTTACACTTGGATAATTTTTTAGCAGAGAGATAGCCTAGAGAAAACATTGAGTGTTTATCATTCGATTACTCAAATAAACTATGCACTTGAGTGTTTAAAGGAGATGGGTGAAATTTGATTCAAACCCACACGCATTCCTTTGCAAAGCAATTGGAAGTGAAATGCCACCAAGAATGGTCAAGTGCATACTCTTGCATATCTTTAGTTTGAACGTGTCAAGTTATTTAATGCATTCTCTCGTTGGACTCCATTTAGAAGCAAACAATTCATGTATCAAGATATCTAGCGGATTCTAGAATCTTGACAAGGAATGCTGTAGGCCTTCAGGCCTTGTTTTGTAAGGAGATTTTGGAGGGAATGGGTGGGATATGCGAAAATGGAGGGGATGTATGGGAGCGTTTGTTGGTATATTTTGGCCTCATCTAATTTACCCATTTTTTCTAGTGTTACATGCTTAAATGTGAAGATAACTATCTTATCAGGTAAATACTCATATCTTTCTCCTCATTTTGACTTAGCACGCTTTTTAATGTAAGATGACAACATATTTGACTTCCCATTTTTTCCCTTGGTGATGTAGTAAATTGAAGAGATGTGGAAAGCGTGAATTGTGCAAAAGGGTAAAATAGTCTTTTAGTTGTCAAAACGTTACAGAGTATTTCCATTTAAGGAAAGGGGAAGAAAGATATAGGACGGCCCAAAAAGGAAAACGAGATGAAAAATATAGGACGGGCAGAGTAATATATTTACTTAGGGGGTGTTTGTTTTTCTGCCAGAAGACCTTCTGGCGTCTTTTGTCTGCGCCGCGCAGACGCGCGCAGATGATGGGCTCTGCAGATTGTTTGTTTTTTGGAAGACATTTCACTCAAAAAGGTCTTCCTGGCATCTTCTTGGAGAAGACATTAACCAATGTCTTCTAACATCTTCTCCTTTTTTTTCTACTTCTCTTCACCACCACAACCGTCCACCGCCACCGTCCACCATCGCCGTCACCGTCCATCACCATCGTCGTCAACCACCACCGCCACCATCCACCGCCAC